CCCCCCCCCCCACCGCATCGACAAATCAGCGGCAACATGCAAGGGGACAACATTTGTGACCCGGACGACAGTGGTTTATAATCCATCGCACGCCTTAGAGCCTGACAGAGTGCGGCTGGAGGTGAGGGCGGGGGCCGGAGCGCCGCCGTCGGTCACCTGTGCTTCTTCTTGACGTCGGCCCAGACGCTGATGTGGTCGGCGGCCAGGTGGCGGCGGTACCGCATCAGCGGCCCGGCGCAGGCGTCCATCCAGCCCCTCGTCGGCCCACGTGCGCGTACACCAGGCCCTCCGCGCGCACGAACTGCAGACCGGCCGCCAGGGCCACGGCCAGTGCCTGCCGATTGCCGGCCGCCAGCACCTGGAGAGGGGCAGGTCACGTCGGGCCGGCGGACCGCATCACGCTACAATAATTATGGGCATGCGGTCCAGCACACTAACGTCTTGTGAGACGCGGACAGCAGCAATAGCTTAAGAGGCAAGACAATTTCCAACGCCAGCATAAATGTTCAAATGTCATAAATGTATAAATGCTGCCCACACAAACGCTTACATGCCAGTAGACAAACGTACTAGGATTGATGTGTGCATAACTACATCCCACACTTTTCCAGGTCCACGGCAGGGCGTCCCGTCACCCAATGTCACGTGACTCACCTGAACGCCAACGGGCTTGGCGGCAGGCACCCTGCGACGCACCTCGGCCGCCACGCGCGTCATGCACGCAGTGATCTCCGGTCCCAGCTGAGCTCCGCACATGTACGGCAGGTCGTGCATGTTCTCCACCAGCAGACCGTCCTGCGGAATACGTCAGGTCATCGCTCAGCAGGATGACTCAAGCTTCAGCCATTTAGTCAAGAAACAGTGAAACACATGACACAAACCACATCACAATGAATCAGTTTCGAGTGTAATCAAAGGAACTACACAATTAAATGATTGCAAACAGCTTTTCAGGCACTTCAAAATTTTCTACAGAAAGCAACTTTTGGTCAGATTTATCCAGCACTGCTCATTCAATTAATGCCTTTATTCATTTATTTCATATGAATACTCTGCATGGCACAGCTTCTCAGATCATGCACACAACTTGCATGGTATACATACAGCACACAGCCAAGATAAGAACAGACATAAACTTCGTTTCTCACTCCTAAGCTTCAGGACTTCACAAATCCACTAGCGCCCTCTCTCCCTGCACCCAAAACCATTGCGTGGTTCTCTGGCTGCCACGGGAGCTTCATTCCATTTGACAGTAGCACGATAGCAAAAAGCATGTCTGTTGCTTTATGCTCAGTTTGGATGTGGATGCAGCTCGGGGGGTCCCGCCAATGACGTACAACTTTCCCGCCGGCATACCCTTGATGTATGTGAATTGTTCACGGAGGGGACTGCACCACGCGTTGCGTGATGCAGCATGGTGACACGTTTTTCGACGACAATCTGACATAAGGCAGGTCATTATAAGTGGATTGAGATGGTTTGGTGCTTTTTGAATTCACTCACATTGCGTTTCTTTTAGCCCACAGTCATGCTCAATAATAAAAATTAGGGGGTAAACCCACGTTTTCTACTTAAAACTTTTTACCTTCCTCAATTAGCCATCGCAAGAGCTTGGCCAGCCCCCCCCCCCCTAATGCTGCGAAGCACGGAAATACTGTGAATACGTGGCGTTCAAATGCCAGATTGCTATCTATACCCACACAGAGAATTTCGACCACGGCTGATCAGCAAAGCATTGCATCATTAAAGCAAATGTAAAAATGAATGCTAAGTCATCTTCTGCTAAAGGCACCATGACTTTCTTGTCATTTATTAACTTTTTCTTGGGTCTGCAGGGTTGCGGGGATCACCTCCGTGGCTATTCCCTGGGCCCCAGATGCGACACCACTTAGTGTTTGGTGAGATGTCAGAAGCTGGACCACTGGGCCACTCTGTGACCCATAGATACAGTTCCAGTGCCCCTGGGATGGCTGGACGTCAATCCGTACACCGGCTCTGGAACCAATAGATGCTGATCCCATATCATCCGAGTTTGTCAAGGAGCTGAAGATGCTGGACAAGCAGATGATTACCACCTAATCCATGTTGCTGACTGAATAGATGACAGCATCTAGCATTGTAGACTCCATAGATTGACTTGGTTTGCAACTATGTTGCACACTACATAGGATGTTATGTGACACCAGTTAACTTAGCAGCCAGGTGCAAATAATGCTTGCAGCAGGCTTAACTGTCATTAGAATCATGGACCTTGGTCAATGGTTAGTGGGGCCATCACAACATCTCAACTTACAGATTGCCAAAACAGCTGCTGAGTTCTACTCTCATACCAGATGTAAAAGAGATGTTGATCATATTCAAAGTTGGGGTCCATCTTCAATGGAACATGCACCCCTGATTCTAAGGGATGTATATTCCTGGCTATTCTTTTCAATCACATTCTGACCATGCACTTATCTACTCACCACATCACATTTAGTATATGTGTCTGCTTCACTGCAGGCTGTCTCCACAACTTTGTCCATGTGCAGACTATGAAGAGGTGTTCCTGTAAACAAATTGATTACATACCTGAATGGGAAAAGACCAGCTGCGTCCTGGTCCACACACCCATGGTGGGATAAGTTCCAGTCACTTTAATGCTCACTGTTTGCCCTTGACAGGTACGGCCCCCATCCTGGCAGCAGCCGCAATAAAGATAGGGTGATGTCTGAGGACAGAACGGACCATGTCGAGCATTGCATCACGTTCAATGTTCAAAACCAAATTCTGCCATTGACTAGAATTTCATAATTGATGCTATGGGTCACAGGACACATACATGCTACAGTGTGAGCTCCAACCCCAGAAATCCAACCATTCAAAAAGTTAGAGCTGAATCTTAAAAAGTTAACCTACATATCCACAAGTTCAAGCATTCTGGCACTGCTGTGAAAAACTTCAATGAACCAACAAAGAGTGTAAGGTGTGATCTGATCTTGGCAGAAATTTCAAGCATGGCAATCAGAACAAAGCATCTTAAACCAGAATGTTCAAATATGTGCCATATTGCCTGGTCAACCATGACACATCCTTCTGATGGGGCCATTCTGATCTTTTCACGACATAAGCACAATGCAAAAACAAAGCAAAAAGACACATAGGCAAACATGGCCTTAAGCCCCTGTTCTCAGCAATGCAGATTGGGGATGCTCATTCTGACAACAGTTGAACTTCAGTATACTGATAGATACTGGTTGAGCAATGTCAAGGGATTGTTACCTGTGTTGCCAGAGCCTAACAACTCAGGCCATGCTCATGCTGCTCAGTGACCATGAGCACAGCTTCAAGTGTTGATTCTTGTCAACACAGCCAATGCTTCCTTATCATGTTGTTTTAATCAGTATCTTGTAGCATACTGAAGGTTCATTATTCCAGAATAAGAACTCCTTACTCATACTGTCAGGCACTGAGCAAGCTTAACACCATATCAACAGGGTAGAACTCTGCAAAAACCTCATCCATGTGAAAGCTGCATGCATCTAACTGATTAAATTTGAAACAACTACAGTAAAACAGGGCAAAACTTGAAATAATTATAAGCCATTCCTTAAACCTTCTCACTCAACCAACTTGAACCGAACTGTAATTAAGAATAAAAGGACAGTCCAGATCACTTTGGAGGAATGACCTGATCTGATACTTAGAAAGCGAGATGAAAACTGCAGACCCAACTGACTAGGTGGCACACAATCTTGGGATGCATGGTGTCACTAGTTTCCAACTCTACAAGTTTCCTCCTATCAAGAACAAAGCATCCGACCAGTCAGCCAGTCACAATCACACCATTTACAACCAAAAAATTAGCAGCTCCCTGGTGTAACAGATAATGAGCAGCACACTCACCAGGCAGGGCTCTCACATGGATCATTCCAATAACACTGCTCCTTTCGAACCAAATAGCTTCCTAAATTTCAGCATTGTAGGCCTTGCCAAGAACTGCGACCCAGCCTCCAATCTCGCGCATAAAAGCGTCCACGCCCGTCTTCAGACAACTTTGGCCTACTTAACGCGATGTACGATGAGCCCTTTTCAGTCTTCTTCCCCCAAGATGTAAACATCCACCGACCGCATCTAAACGCATGAACACCCGAAATTCCTTTGAATTTTGTTTACCAACACGTAACCACACGCCAATGCACCACACGCTCTCCCGTATCCTTATGTAGGCGTATCCTTAGGCAGGCGTGTTTGTAAACAAGGAAAAACGCTCCGCACACGTGCTGCTAAATAAAACGCCTCTTTGCGTCAGTTTCACTGACGTGACCAATTTTCCCACCGTTGGCCAATTATTTACCGGACGGTAAGTATTTTATTTGAATATGGCTAAAAATAGGTTCCAATGGTGTTTTTTAGCAAACCAATCTTCCTTGGATTCTAAATGTCTATACGTATTTTATGTTTTTTACTCTTTGATGTCACTTCATGACCAGTTCACGCACGACTACGAACTCCCTTTACCACAAAAAACCTTACTGGACCAAAGCGTTACCATGACAACAAACAGCTGTTGCTATAGCCAGTTTCTTTGATACGGTTCCTCATCGCGGGTGGCGTTGAGTCGCTTTGATCGTGTGGATCATTCCCACGGCCCAGATCATGCCGAGTACGCAGCGCTGAGATTCGAGTGCGGTTCTTGCCCGTTCGAGCTGGCCCACATTCACGCTGAACTCTTCCCGGCAAGCATCGGGAAGCGTAAAAAGGTTCGTGTGTTACCAGACAAGATGTAATTTCGTGTCTAAACCAGTGGTTCAGCAACTTCGTGAACCGTGCAAGAGGATCTTACCGTAGCAGGCGGTTGTGTTGGAACAACTGTGCTGTAAAACGTGAGCTTTAAATCCAAAGTGGAGCGTGTCGGGGCAAACGCTCATTTTGGTAGTTACGTACCTATTTACTGTTTCGAACTAGCGATCCCATTGTCAGTCACAGACACCGTTTCTACTTCCAGTGATGGCAGGTCACCAAAAATAGCGGAGCTGTTCTTTGGTGCGATGGTACCGACGACTCACCTACATATATCAGCATCTGCGTTACCAGCGTAGCAAGACAGACATGACGATCTGCATCATATGCTCCTGAACGTCCGTTGCAGGTATGTTGGGTCATGCCTTTGCTGCTAACAGTGCACTGCAGGATTGCGCAGGATTGCGCGTGATCCATCCGTTCTCAGGCCATTTTTCTTGCATTGCACTTCTGAGATAAAATTATGAGCATTCGCCAGCTGCAGCTGAAAAATGCTCAGATCGTATCGGAAGGGAAGGGCCGCTGATGGCTCTTCCTTCCGTCATTCGCCCATTTCATGGCCATCCTCTTCGTTTTGTGACGACCACTAGTGTATTGACAAACGGCTTCCGTTGTAGTTGAGTCCAGCATCAGGATGGCGTCCGGAGAGGAAACGACTTCACGCATCATCCAGCGGCCCCAGATGCGGCCCGGGCCCGAGGATGACGCCCACAACCCCTTCGTACTGCCGTCCAACTCGGACGTGTTCACATTCCGGCAACAGGACGTGCAGAACCAGAAGGAGAAGAAGAACACTCAGCTGGCAATGCCAATCTACAAGCGTCAGTACCATCAGCCACGGATCACCGCTCGACTGCCGCCCACCCCGGAGCCGGAGGACCCGCAGGTGGCGCAAGATGACACCTTTTTCAGGAAGAACTTGGCGTACACGCGCGTGGCCATGCAGAACAAGGGCGTGGAGCGGCAGACGCTGGCCGAGTTTGTGCAGAACAAGAAAGACATGTTCTTTCTCCAGTACACTATCAACGTGAAGCGCGAACAGATGGCGAAGCTCGAGACAACGGTGAAAGAGGAGCAGGAGCGACTCGATCGCGACAAAAAGAAGATCGAGAAAGACTATCAGGTGTTTGACGAATTCCTCAAAGAGAATGACCAGATGGCTGTGGAAGCGATTCGTCTGGCCGAGGATGAAGCCAAGATCACGATGGACAAAGTGTCACAAATTCGCCAAGTCAACATCCAAATCATGGCCACCAAGAGCTTCATCATCAAGCTGGAGGAGCGATACAAAGAGCTGCGCATGTACCGCCGTTTCCTGTTCCAGCTGGCGCCACAGGAGTGGCGACAGGAGCGTGAGGAGCAGGCGAGGCGCCAGTCTATGTGCCGCCAGCTGTCCGAGCAGCTGGAGGTGGCCGACACGGCCTCGCAATCAGGCAGCGTGGTGACCCTCGGGGGGCGCCTGGCCGGCCATCGGCGCGGCAGCCGCCTGCCGCCGGCAGCCAGCCGCAGCAGCGGCCCCCGCCTGCAGCGGCGCCGGCCGTCGCTCCAGGCCACGCCGGGCCGTCGGCTCTCGGCCACGCCCACCAGCGTGCAGCAGGCGTCGTCGCCGACGCTGGTGACCGTTGCCAGCACGGCCACCACGCGGCGCGCCAGCCTGGCCGCCTCGTCGGCCGTCGCGATGCAGCTCGACGAGTCGAGTGTGGACGCCGAGCTGTACTTCACCGAGCCTCAGCAGCTGTTCGCTGTCTTCCTTGAACTGGAGGAGCAGAACCTCAAGCTGATACAGAACTCGCAGGTGAGTGGGCCGCCGAGGACGCTCGCGTGGTCCGGCTGTCTGCTCGGCGCCAGCTGCTTGATTGGCCGCTTGTGGCAGCGGAACTGGCTGGCCCAAGCAGGCTATAACAAGCTTCCATCTCGCCGCCAGATGCATTTCGCATTTAGTGCCCTTGGGCGAGACCATATCGGGTGCACTTACGTAAAAACATCATACGCACACAGGTACAGCCACAGTACCGGATGTCCAGCAGCCCGGCCGTCAGAGGTGTTCGGATCATTGAGCCAAGCTGTGTGTGTGTTGTGACGCGGCCGGCCGTGCCGTCTGCGCAGGAAACGGAGGAGGCGCTGGAGGAAATGAAGACGTCCGGTGAGCTCACCAAGGAGCGCATCAGCCGAGAGGTGGCCCTGCTGGAGCAGCAGGTCGGTCTGCTGCAAGAGGCCGTCAGGTGAGGTCAGGTCAGGTCAGGTCATCTTGGGAGACCACCGGGCGACCGATGTCACCTGCTGTCAGCCGGAAGCTGGCCGTCCCGGTGACGGATGTCTGGACAGCAGAGCCAGCCAGCCAGCCAGTCTCGCCACGAGGTACGACACCGTCGCCGTCGTCATCGTGACGCTGCGTGGGGGCTGCTGTGATAAGCGTTGCAATTTGGGTGATGCAGCGGGCCTACACGCTGTTAGATGAGGGGGGGGGGGGTGCGGGTGAGTAAGACTGGCAAAGCTCCAGGCCAGTCTCCACCGGCTGGGGTGGAGCCCACGACTTCCCGCACGACGTGATCGCTGGGCGCCCTCCTGGCCGAGGCCAGCTGTGGCTGCGCCGAACACCGGTGACAGGTGTCTGTGCCATTCGTGGCACGTCCTCCCCGGCCAGGTGGGAAGAGGAGAAGAGCGAGCAGCTGGAGCTCTTCTGCACGATATTCAACCAGGGCGAGTTCAAGGCGGAGGAGCAGGAGAGCGCGCTGGCCGAGCTCAACGACCAGGTGACGGCCGTGTACACGGCCATCATCGGCGAGAACCAAGCCAACATCAGCACGCTGCAGATGCTCGCCTCGCTCGAGAGCCACATCGAGGATATGTTCGAGTACATGGAGACAGTGCCGCCTGAGCGACTGCACGCCGCTGAAAAGGTCGGTAGGCTGACGGGTGGACGGGAGCGGCCGCCTCACGGCGCTATGCGGAGCGGCAAACGACAGTCGCGCCCGCGCCCGCACGTGCAGCCCAGCCGGCTGGACTGTCAGTCACTGCAGCGAGCACGCACAGGGTTGACCGCAGTGCAGCTCTCGGTTTTGGCTGGCTGTCACGTGTCGCATGCGCGTAAGCACTGGATAATGACGAGACACCGCTACCGCGACACCAGACAGCGGCGTCGCGACCCTCGCTTATAGCGGATGCATGCTCGCCCAGTGGCTGCCGGTTTGCGTTGCGACTTCGGTGTAGCTGGGCTCAGTTAGCGTGTAACAGAACGGTGTGATATTTGCCGGCACCTTCGCGGTGGGGTCAGAGCGTGCGCAACCTCCGCTCAGGACGTATCCAGTATGATCACTGCCCACCCCATACACCCGTACTGCCACACGCGAGCGCTCGCACCTCTCGCCGCGTCCAGCGCATACTCGTCCCGCGCGGCCCGCGTCTCACTGCGTCCACACGCGCTCGGCAGCTGCGTGACCGCGAGCGGCGGCTGAAGCTGCGCGAGCTGAAGATCCGTCAGCAGCAGGCGGCGCAGGCGGACCGGCTGCGGCGCACGCGACTGCGCGCCATGGCCGAGGTGGTGAAGCACACCGGCCGACCGCTCGTGTTCCGCTCGCGGCCCGCCGACGCCGCAGCGGCTGCAGCGCAAGACGCAGCGCGAGACGGAGGAGGAGCTCGAGGAGTACAACTACTTCTTCGGCGAGTGACGGCCCGAGCGCAGGCCGCCAGACTGTGATCAGTGCAAGCAAATTGTCCAGTTCGTCCCGTGGCAAATACACGTCTTGTTTCGTATGGGGTGTGCGTGCGTCTGTCACAGGAAGACGGAGCTGAAGAGGTGGCGGTCTCGTCTTCGGACCACAACCTCACTGTCCGAGAGCTCCTACAGGACAATGCTGATGCGCGCCCTTATTTTCCAAAGAAACTCCAGGACAAAAGCGCCTGTCGAAATGATAATAATGTATTGTGATCACGCGATGCGAGCTATACGGGGGCGAAGGGGCTTTAGAACTTGTCGACAAGCTGCAGTATCCGCTGCTGCTCCGCCTGCCTCTCCTCCGAGTCGTCCCCTTCGCCGAGGTTGCCGGCGTACTCTGTAAACAGAGCGGCGACAAGGCTGTTACCGCGGGTCGACGCGGCGCCGTATTCACTGCTGACCAAGGATCAGTTTGCCGCTGAGCACACCACGCTGTGGAGCACGGCATTACACCGATGCACATTGGCGCCACTGTACGTGCGGGCTGCATCAAAGCAAAGGATGCGATCTTCTGGGGATGGATTCGCTGTAACAGCTGACGAGCGTCTCCCGTCTGGCTGACAACCAAGAGGATCAGTAGGATCTTACGGTGAGGGACGGGCGGGGGGGGGGGGGGGTGAGGCGATGATCTGGGGGTGCAGATTGGATGCCAGAGGGTAAGATCGGTCACCTGAGCGGTCACGCCGCTGACACCTGAACTAAAAGCACTGCTACCGCTGCCAGGACGGTCAAGGTCATAGCCCTCTGTCCCCTGCTGGCGACGCGCCTGCCCGCCGCGCCTGCCCCCCTCCCCTCCCCCCTTACCCCGCATGATGTTCCTGATGGTCTTCACCGAGGCGTTCCTGATGTTCAGCATCTGCATGACGCGCTGCTTGACCTGGGCGGCACCGGCCGCGCACACCTCCAGCACGATGAAGTCCACCAGCTGGAGGGTGAAGAGGCCGCCCTCCAGCCGCCGTCCGTACAGCTCCTCGTCGGTCAGCTCCTGCTCCTGCTCCAGGCCCACGTCCGTGTTGTACACCTGGAGGGGCGGCGGTCGTCAGCAGCGGCGCCGGCCGCTTCGCGCGCACCGCTGGCGCCGCTTTGGACCAACCGAGCGGGCGTCGTGTCCGAACATCTTCTGTCGCGCTGGTGCCAAGAATGCTAAGTTCACCAGGGCGTGGGAACTGAACTTTCAGCCAAAACGGTATATGAGAGTGGAGTATTTATCTGAGTGAAAAATGTGCACTAAGGCACTGACTTTGTGTGTTAAAAATCGAACTGCAGTGCATACAAAACTAAATGCATTCCATCCATTCCGCCGAGTCCGGCACTTTCGACTGCAAGTAACAACATGAAATGGGTAGTGACAGGCAAATAATTTCAGCAGCGGGCAATGTTCCGCACGCGTAAAATGGGGATACTGTTAGGGCGGGAAAGCCAGCAAAACACCCTATGAGTGTTATTTAGGGGAGCGCTCCATATTTATACGGGGTTTTGAGCTAAAACAGCCACCTTGAAGACCTTTCGGTGCCGTTCACAACCATGTCCTTCTAAAGCCCTAAGCCCCTCTAGTTTCTGAGCTACACGGCCGCGATAATGGGGAAGGGTATATCTGGGAGAGTATGTCAAAGCCACCTTGGCATTCATGACGTCATAATAACGCCATTCAAATCCTGCTATTTCATGAGCCATGTGACGATCAAAGCCAATACAAATATAATTGTCGAGATGTTCAGATCTGCCGTTCGTGAGCGCGATTACATATATAACGGCCATCAATTGGCTCTCAATCAATGTTGTGCAAGGTACGGTGATGTAATCAAACCACGACGCATCGAGGACCATATATACTAAACAAAACTGCGCTGTCTAGAGCAGTCTTTTCAAAGTACAAATTATACCAATAGTTTTAAGTGAGCTTATTTCATCATCTCTGATGCCTGCTTCAATACCATCAACAATACCAATGCTTCAATACCATGACACAAATGTACGCCCAGTGTACACTTGGCGGCATGCCAAACAACCCAAACACTAAAGACGGAGAGCTTCTTTGCACCAACATACGTCTGGAAACTACGTTCACCATGGCGTATTAGCGACGGCACATGGATTTGGCATGACATGACATGGACGACACAGTGGCCAGGCTGCGCGCTGGGAAAACAAGGACGGAGGATTTGTTCCCCACGGTGGCCGTGCATCCTGGCAGAGGTGAGGCGGCCGGCGTCACATGACTTCAGCTGCTGGGTGGGTCGTGAAACACCCCCAATGACTGGCAAGCGGCAGGAGATGCGACAGCTTAAAACCGTTAGTTTTTTCAGACGAACCGCAGCTGAACGCGACACTACGAGGGCCACGCACCGGCACAGGCCGCGTCTGACGGCAACTCAGCGCCCACCGGTGGCGTGTTGCCAACGACCAACGGCGCCGGTGACCGGTCTGGCACCACTGGTCCCGGCGCCGGTGACCGGTCTGGCACCATTGATCCTGGCGCCGGTGACCGGTCCTGGCGCCGGTGACCAGTCCTGGCCACAGTGACCAGTCCTGGCCACAGTGACCGGTCCTGGCGGGCGGGCTCTCCATACCTTGTCCAGATACTTGAAGTGCAGCTCCATGAGCCGGTCCACCTTCTCACAGTCGTTCTCCGTGAACTTGGTGATGATGCGCTGGCGCACCTGGCCCCGACAGTGACGCAGCAGGCCACACAGGATCGACACCACGTGCTCTGGGGAACACCGTAGTCACGGGAGCTCAGCCTGCCGCTGGCCAGGCGCGCCGCCGCAGCAGGCCACACGGGATCGACACCACGTGCTCTGGGGAACACCGTAGTCACGGGAGCTCAGCCTGCCGCCGGCCAGGCGCGCCGCCGCAGCAGGCCACACGGGATCGACACCACGTGCTCTGGGGAACACCGTAGTCACGGGAGCTCAGCCTGCCGCCGGCCAGGCGCGCCGCCGCAGCAGGCCACACAGGATCGACACCACGTGCTCTGGGGAACACCGTAGTCACGGGAGCTCAGCCTGCCGCCGGCCAGGCGCGCCGCCGCAGCAGGCCACACACGTGCTCTGAACTCAAGCGAGGTGGGTACAACAGTTTAGAATGGCTGGCGGGTGAGTATGGGCAATGCCTCATGAGTGGCCCGTGGATGGTGCGAAGGAAATCTTCCCCCCCCCCCCAACGTCTCAATCGTGAACTAAGCCGTCGAGCAACGGTGTCGATGCCGATGTTGTCATGCCGCAGGTTATGCCCACAGTTTACGCCACCCGCCATGAAAAATGTGAACGAAACGGACTGCTTAGTTTTGTTACGCAGTGCTTGCATCGCATTTTCCGGGGAAGGGACGTGGTAACTATAGACGTTGATGAAAACGGTTTTCATGAATGAATGGCAAGGCAGTTCATAATTTGAATGGTGACTGTCACCGCCCTGACCTGACAATTGCTGTCTTTCCAGCGTTCACCAGTGATGTGGTGCTCTGTCCGTTCATCTCCGCCGCCCACGCACCACCAGATGACACCCACCACATCGCCCCTAGCTCCCTCCCCCCCTCCCCCTCAACGGACGTCGACCAGGTCCTCTCACGCTTGTGCTGTTCCGCGATCCCCTGCATCAGGTCACCCCCGCCGGAGCTGACCCTCGCGCTCCTCCATCGTCCCCCGGAATCGGATGGGCGTGCATGCCACCCCGCCGGTCCTGACCCCCGCGCTCCTCCACCCTCCCCCGGAATCGGATGGGCGTGCATGCCAGCCCCGCTGGTCCTGACCCTCGCGCTCCTCCACCCTCCCCCGGAATCGGATGGGCGTGCATGTCAGCCCCGCTGGTCCTGACCCTCACGCTCCTCCACCGTCCCCCGGCATGGGATGGACGTGTCTGCCAGAAGCGCCGGTGCTGACCCTCGCGCTCCTCCACCGTCCCCCGGAATCGGGTGGGCGTCCGCCAGCCTCGCCATACCCACCCTCGTGCTCCTCCACGCTGAGGCCGCGCCGCCGGTGCTTGCGCGGCGTATGCATGAAGAGCGGGAAGAGCGTGCGCAAACCGAGGATCTCCACCAGCTTGTTGCAGTTGTCTGCGCCCGCCGGACCTGACGTGGCGTAGTTGAGCACCTTCAGCGCGCCGTTCCGCGACAGCTTCTTCTCCCTGCAGAATGGCACGCGGAGGAAGGTACTCGGTCAGTCGGGACTAGGACTCAGTCGGCGACAGACGCGGCATGACAACGCTGTAGGGAACATATGACGAGTGAATACCTTGAAAGCACAAAAATGTTAATATTAAACGTGAGTCGAATCGCAGACGCCCAACCAAACGGTAGAGTCGTCCTCGACCCATTCCGCTGCCTTCCCGTAGCCGTGGAAAGTTACCGGGCCCCTTGGTTTTCCTGGTTTTCAGCTTACCTAAGAAAACACTATGAGTGTGAGAATATATGACAGTTTCGGGAAGAGCAAAACTCTCTACTAAGCTGCCGAACAGCATGGAAGTTTCCAGGGATCGGCACTAGGTCCACTTCTCTACTGCATCTTCGTGAATGATCTAAGCCTCTTCGCAGAGGGTGCGGTGTTGTTCAGCATGCGGACGACACCCAAATTCTAGAGAGCGGCAAAAAACGACACTTCCAAAATGTCGCCGCGCCTATAAAACACGTCCTAGCCTCTCTCGATGTTTGGTTTCGCGCGGAAAGTCTCAAAGTAAATGTGAGAACACATAGTTAATGTCGTTTGAAGGCCCACGAAATCTGCGCAGCCCCCAAAATTAACTGCAAACTTTCGTGAGCGAAAATTATGCCCTGTTCGGAGATAAAAAGTCTAGGTCTGGTATTTGACCAGTCTCTCAGCTGGAATTCCTACGTTCCTTTCGACACTAGCCGCTGCTTTGGTACTCTCCCTGGTCTATCACGTCCAAGGAAATACTTGTCACCCCCCCCCCCCCCTCCCCCCCCCCTGTCGCCTCTACGCTGGTGAGGTCCTCTGTCCTCTTGCAGATCCGATACTGCTGTTCGGTTATGGGAATGACACTCAAAAATATCTTCAGGATCCAAAGTCGTCAATGTTGCAGTAGGAGTAATCGCTGGGGGTAAAAAGTTCAATCACGTTTCGGACCTGCTGGAGGAATTTGACAGACTCTCCGCAGACAGCCTTGCCAAATACCACACATTGACACTTCTACACTAGGTGCTACATTCTAAAGGGGCAGAAGCACTGGCTCACTAGGATGTAGCACCTTGCGTACAAGTGTGACGACCACGTGTTTGATATCTCCGTGAGCTCTAGCAGGTATCTCAAACGAGATCGTCACACGCGGATCTGCTGGTCCCTAGGTCACCCACTGATATGGGAAGGAGGCGCTTGTGTTGTCGAACTTCCACCCAGTACAACTCCCTTGCCCGTAACCTCACACGACTCCCTCGTGCGAGGTTTGGCCGTGCACTGAAGCGCCACCTATCACTTTCGACGTCCATCCTGATCACAGAATGGCCCGAGCCGTGCATGCATGCGCAAAAGTGTTGCGCGTGCGTGCGTGCGTGCGTGCGTGCGTGCGTGCGTGCGTGCGTGCGTGCGTGCGTGCGTGCGTGCGTGCGTGCGTGCGTGCGTGCGTGCGTGCGTGCGTGCGTGCGTGCGTGCGTGCGTGCGTGCGTGCGTGCGTGCGTGCGTGCGTGCGTGCGTGCGTGCGTGCGTGCGTGCGTGCGTGCGTGCGTGCGTGCGTGCGTGCGTGCGTGCGTGCGTGCGTGCGTGCGTGCGTGCGTGCGTGCGTGCGTGCGTGCGTGTGTGTGTGTGTGTGTGTGTGTGTGTGTGTGTGTTCGCATTTGTAGCCAGTGACACCTTGCTTTAATGCTGCGATGGCCAAGGCGGCCGGCGGTCGGCGGCGGCGCGGTGGCCCGGCGGCGCGTGTTCACCTGAGCATGAGGTTCATCAGCTGGAGGCCTTCGCCCTTCAGGAAGCGGTCCTTGTTCTCGGCCAACAGCAGGACCGAGCAGAGCGAGTCGAACATGTTTTCCATGCACTCCTGCTCCTCAGAGGAGGCCGGGTCGTGGCGTTTGTAGTAAGCCAGCTGCTGCAGCAGCACGTCGATACCGTCCAGTTCGCCGAGCAACGTCCTGCAGCATCCCCGGCGTCAGTAGAAGCACCACCTCGCCGCCACCGGCCGCCGCACGGCGCCGAGCGACGCCTACAGCTCATGCGGGCTTTCTGTCGCCGGTTACACTTTCGGGGTTTATTTCGCAATCATTTCCTGCAGCGACTGGGACGTGAAAAAATGGGTCGACATATCAATGAGGATAAGAAATGGCATGACCGTATGAGCCAATTCAAGTTTCAAAGTAACCACTTCGCCATCACTTTAGCACTGATCTATCCCGCAGCCAGTAACTTCGTCTCTCCCTGAGCTATCCGGCCACCACTGAGTCCCTTCACCCACAGCCCCAAGTCTGTCCACCTCGCGCTGCCCACCTCAGCGCAGATCCGTTCCGCTCACACCGACCCACGCTTCACCCGCTGCGCCACCGGCTACCCACCTGTTCTCCTCGTGGCCCTGCACCAGCACTGAGAGCATCTCGCTGGCGTACAGCTTGTTGGCGTCGAACGGCGCCTTCAGCTGCAGCCGACCGAGCAGCCAGGCCATGAGGCCCTGCTGGGCGGCCGGCAGGCAGGCGGCCGGCCGCAGCTCGGTCACGTTCTCGACGATGGCGAGAGCGCTGTGCACGCCGGCCGCCTCCTCGGTGACGGCCTCGTCCAGCCGCTCCATGGTGTGCACGAGCACGGCGACGGCCTGCTGCTCGAGCAGCGCCGCCACCAGCCGCTCAGCGCCCCGCTCGCCGGCCTCCGTGTCCGTCTCCACATCCGTCAGCTCCTGCCGGTGCCGCAGCGGGCGCGTCACTACATCCGGCACCAGCTGCGCAGCGCTGCTGGCTGTCCACGGCTTACCACGGGCAGCAGAGATCGCAACCATACGGCCCAGAGAGATTACCCCGATCTGGGTGCAATAAGTCCCGTCACTGTGCGGCAAGATGCACACTGGAGAAATCACAACAGAACAGTCCGCAGAAAGCGCCATCAACCGGCGCTGCGCGGCGTGAGGAGATCACAGCAGCTGTCGGGACGGATGCTGCCGCGCCCTGGGATCTCCCGCTGCGCTCTGCGCCGGCGTGAGGAGATTAAAGCAGCTGTCGGGGCGGATGTTGCCGCGACCTGTGATCTGCTGCTGCGCTCTGCGCCGGCGTTGCCAGACGTGCGCTCAGTCGCCACCCTGTGATCGTCGCACCCGCCTACACGCTGGGTAACGAGCCCGGGGCGTGGGGGACGGAGCTGCCTGCCCGGCTTGAGGCACGGAGGCAGAGCTAACGCGGCTGCGCTGTCGGCGGTTCGGCACATCAAACCGTTTGGATAATGAAAACGACCTCGCTGTTTGGTGTTTGGCAACTGGAGCCAGCGTCAGCCTCCGTGCCCGACATGCCAGAAGACAACCGAAAGTCCCGTTACGACGCGTACTAAACAGAGTCAACTCTTAGCGTGACAAGATCTGAGCAGATGGCGACAGCTCCAAGTACCCACATGCCGACCAAAGCTCTCACCACTCGGCGCGTGCCTAGGACGGTGACAGCTTCCGCGCCCAGCATCGCCTCGCATGCAGCCCACCGGCTATCAATGACAGCGGCAATCTGAGCTTTCAGGCGCGTTACCTACTAGGTCCAGCAGCCCGCTCTCCCACCCTCCCCCCCCCCCCCCACGACCTCGCTCATGCAGCAGCGCGCGCCCCAACTCGCCCACCCCAACAGGACCAGCACCGCCCCGGCAGCCCCGTGGCCAGCAGCCGGTCCGACCGGGCGCCCGACCTGCAGCAGGTCGATGACAGCGATGGCAATGTCCGTGTTGTCGTGGCCGAGCAGGGCCAGCAGCGACGCCACCGTCCCCAGCTGCACCAGGCGTGTGTACAGCTCGGGGGCCGTGGCCACCGCGTGCAGCGCCTGGATCGCCTCGTGCAGCTCCAGCTCCGAGTCGAGGAAGCGCTCCGGCTGGTCAGCGTGCTTGGTGCGCATCTCCTGGTTGCGCAGCGTGCGCTTCTCCAGCGAGAGCACCAGTCGCTTCAGCAGGTTCTCGTCGAGTGGCTCGGCCTGCGTGCAGAGCGCAGGGTGGCTGTTCAGCGGCTCCTATTGGACACAGCACCGGAGAGCGGTGCTCGCCTGTCAGTGGTGCCCAAACCCGCAGCACCTGACGGTGGTACCCAAACCCGCAGCACCCGAGAAGAGATTTTAGTCAGAGTCTCCGTCCGAGCACAGTAATGAAAGAGGGGCTGTTGGTCACTGGCTTCACCTGAATGCAGAGCACAAAGAAAAGGTTTCTCGTGAAAGATCAGAACTAGGCACGCATAGAAGACCGACAGGGTCCGAAGTCCGATACTAAATATGGGAGTGGTGGTAGACGGCACCCCACAAAGTGAGTCACGACCAGTGCATCGGCCAAATAAACGCGATGTGGTTTGTGGGGACGCATAGGCAAATGAACCGGTTTGATTTGTTAGCCGGCTCCTGCCGTACTAGGGCTCCGTACTAGGGCTCTACCGTCCGTACTAGGGCTCCCGCTCCTCCGGGAGGCAGTGAGGGGCTGGACGCTGGGAGTATACTGACAAGAGGCTGGTTAGTGTAATATGCTGCTGTGATGCCGACGCTGCTACGGCTAACTCTACTTGTGGTCATGCAAGGTTGACCAAAAATAGCTAAAAATGCAAGGAAAGGAATGCAAGACCGGTTAGTTACAAAGATACCACAGATTGGGAGGGGTAGAATCATTCGCCAGTAATTTGTCAATAAGCCAGTAGTAATAGCCTTGTTCGTCGTAGAAAAACCAGGAGAATGGAGAGATAGATCCGTTGATAATTCGGCAACGTGCCTTTATCGATGCCAAACTTTTCTTTTCTTGGTCACAAAAACTTTACGTTCCGATTAACGTTCCGATAAAGACACGTTGCCAAAATACCAAAGCATCTCTCCATTCTCCTGAGTATTATTCGAGGAATAAGGCTGTTACTACGGTTTGATCTAGATGCCTAATGTTCCTCGCAAATGCACTTAAGAATTTGAATAACTTGCGGTTTTACATGCACAATACGCGACGTATTATTTAGGGTTTGTGCTCTGATCCGCTGCGTCAATGAAGCCCTGTCTCAACAAACCAGCGCAGTTTAGATAGGTATGTGATGAAAGTGACACAAGATTTAAATACTTCGGAACGCATTTGGAACAATGAGCGGAGCATGGACAGACAGAAGCATGAAAAACTCGCTTTTGTGCTTTAATGCCACCGGTAGAAAAGGTAGAATAAAATTTCAAGCACACGTTTCGCCGAGTCGCATGCCAATCAAGATCTGGAGCCTTTGCCCCAAGAGCTCCCACCCTTATCCCTTCCTTCCTGGGACTTCTTCCCAACCTGATCCAACCGAACCTGGGGATCTCCGTACGTCGGGCTTCTGCTGCCTCGTCTGCAGATGTATCTCCAGCTCCTCGCCAGTAACCAACTGAAAATGGGCCTTCCTGCCGACCCTGGATATCCCGCTACCCCTAAGCCCTCACCTATGTCTTCCCGTCTCCATCTGAATCCCCAGCTCGTCTGTGTCATGACCTTCTCCCTGTCCGCCCAGCAGACATTTCCTCTCCAACCCATACCTGAGGCTCCCACCGTGCCAGGTTATCCTAGGCCCGTACCTGGGCCCCACCCGCCCGTCTGAACCTGAGCCTCTCCCGTCCGCCTGCACCCGGGCCCCTCCCGTCCGTCTGTACCTGGGGCCCTCCCGTCCGTCTGTACCTGGGCCCCTTCCGTATACCCGAGCCCCTCCCATCTGTCTGTACCTGGGCCCCTCCCGTCCGTCTGTACCTGGGCCCCTCCCGTATACCTGAGCCCCTCCCGTCTGTCTGCACCTGGGCCCCTCCCGTTCGCCTACACTTGAGCCCCTCCCGTCCATCTGTTCGTGGGGCCCTTCCCGCGCTCCTACACCTGGGGCTCCCCCTGTCCGTTTGTACCTGGGGTTCCTGCTCCACCAGGCGCAGGATGTCGTCGGCAGTCGGCTCGTCGGCGGCGGCAGTGACGTCCGGCCGCGGCGCCGGCCGCTTCAGTGGCGGCTCGTCCTCGTCGTCGCCCTCGCCCTCCAGGTGGCGCTTGGTGTTCTGGTCGGGCTGCAGTGGACGGGTGGCGCTCAGAGATCGGCTCACGCGGCTGACACGGCCGGTCAGAGGTGCCAGCGCGGCTGACGGCCATCTTCAGCCGGACACGTACATCACCCCGCACGCCGCTCACCGCCTGCCATTAATGACGTCAGCACCAGCCACGATAGCACTTACGGTTGCTGGATGGATGGACCGAGGGCTGATTGAACTCATAATGCCAACCAGACGCTCAAATCGCTCTTGCTTTTGTAAAGGGCAATCTTAGCTTTCATTTAAGATCACCTGTTAGTCGAATAAGATAATTTGTCAGGTGAATAGGAAAAACTGAGGTTTAAGTTTTTGAAAGCCACAAATTCGGACAATTAATCCCGCGCTTACGTGCAAAACAGCGCCATTGGTGATCCTTGTTTATTAAACATCCCAAGCAACCGGCTTGAAAACATGACAACGGAACGTCACCGGAAAGACCCACCTACTCATCAACCAAGCCGATTTGACTTTTTTCCTCAGCGACTAATGTCCGACCGGGTGCGCCTATCCGCCAGTTTACCGGCGCCGTTGGGTCTGGCTGGTGACCTGGTCACGCCACTCCCGGCGGTGGCGGCCACACCTCCCCTCTACCGGTGGCGACGGCCGGACCGGCGCGGCGGGGGCCCTCGGCCCCCTCGGCCTCCACGTCCGCCGCCGCGGCCGCCGCGTCCGCCACGGCCGCGCCACGGTCTGCCGCGGTGGAAGACGACCGGCCGTCCGCTGAACTGCTCGACGGTGCAGCCGGCGGCGGCGCACTCCATCCGCTGGCGCTCGGCCCGACGCAGAGCCGCCTCGCCGCGCGTCAGATCCTCCTCGGCGAAGCCCAGGTCGGCGCGCTGGCGCCCGCTGTCCAGCACACAGGCGTGGGCCTCGGCCAGCGTGGCGTTGACGCGCACCTCCAGTCGGCGCGCGTCCGCCTGCAGCGGCAGCAGCCGGCGGCTCTTCACGCCCGCCGTAGAGCTGTTGCAGCGGCGCCAGCGCTGCTGCCAGCCGCTCGCCTGGCGCTGGCAGCCGGTCCCCCGGTCGCGCAAGCGCGAAAGCTGGCCCATGCAGCCGGTCGCGCGCTCAGCGCACTGATCTGCGTCGTCTGTGCAGAAGCGCAGGTGCGCCCGCGGCATCGCGCGGGCGCGGCCGCGGCTCATCAGCTGGTCACTCTGCCCCTCCAGTTCGGCGGCGGCGGCCAGGCAGTGGCCACCCCGCGCCTCTGTCAGCTGATGCCCGCTCCGGCAGGTCTGCAGCCGGCCCCGCAACCCCAGCACCGCCAGCTGGCCGCCGTGCTGGGCGCGCTCCTCGCGCCGTAGTTGCCGGCTACAGTCAACCGTTCGGTTATGGCAAGAATCGGCCTCGGTCCGGCACGCACCGAGTTGGGCCTCTAGAGCCGGCAGTGGCTCGCCCGGTGCCGTCCAGTTGGTGTCGGCCTGCTGTTGCTGCAGCTGCTGCACCTCCTCAGAGCACGCAGCTGCGGCCTGCTCCAGCTGCTCAATATGACCCCGGCAGCTGTTGTAAGCCTTCTGCTGCTCAGCGTCGGCAGTGGACGCCGAGCTAAGCAGCTGCGTTCTCAGCACGGTCAGCGACTCAAGCGAGGTGTTTTGAAATGAGAACCGCTGCTCGAGGTTACGAATTTCTACACGCAGACGGCTATACTCACAGTCAAGCACTGAAGACTCGTTTCGTAAGGTTTCTACCTCACGAGCCAACGCCTTGCTAGTTGAATCCATTTCCTCAATTCGCTCGCCCACGCGACTAATATCGTGTTTCAAACGCGATATCTCGTCTTGCAGCTCTGACTCTTCTTGATTACCGACTTTTTCTGACGAAACACACCCGACAAAATTGCTCTCTAGGCTTTCAGCTACAAGCAGCGCCAAGTATGCTTCAAGGCGGTCCAAGCGAACCGCCGCTATCTCCATATGAACGTTCAGGCTGCGGCAACGTGTGGATTGCCATATCTCGCGTACACGGGCCTCGCACTGTGGGACATAAGCTGAGAGAGCATCACTTGTGTTTCTGCACTCGTCCAGCAGTCGGAAGGCCATTCGACGGTCGGCCGATGGCATGCGTTTGAGCTGGAATTCTGAGGCAGCGTTCTCCGCATTTAACAGTCCACTTAAGATGACTAGAAAAACCCAGCGCATCATAAACCACAGGGTTTAGTCCGCTAGAGGCACGCCGAATGACCACCTGCAAAGAATGAATTCGCGCAGGAGTTAAAGGGTTTCCAATGGATACAGTTACAGATGTTGAGACCATGAGGCTAACGAGCGTCCGATACAGAATTCGTCCCGACTTTTTACCGCGGGCGCGGATGATTTCGCCAGCGATGGTGAAAGATTTCAGTCGCCGAGTGCAGTCTCCAAATTTAAGGCACGCGACTTGAAGCCTAACATCCTTTACGCAGAAGGCTGATATATCGAGTGTACAAATAAATACTGGTCAAATAACATGCCAATATGGCATATCACTGGACTCGAAATACAGCTCATTTGAATCCGAAACAATTAACCCATCTTGCATCTACCATGAACTTAGATAAAACACGATCAGCCATGAAACACGACGAATCGTGGACATCAGAGTGGGATGTATATCTGTGTTCACGACCATGAAACGTATGAAAGACACAGCGAGGCGTGTCATCGTGTTTCAGATCTGACATTGTTGTTTCTCTTCATTTTCGTTTTTCGAGATTGGCCTGGGACGACCGCAACACTTTTGGCAATAGGTGTTGGCCCATCGACGCAGTCCGAGATGGACATCGCAAATATTTTACAGCTCTCGCTGAGTCCTTCAGACAGTTGGTGCGTGGCACGTGCAAGATAGGAAGTCTGGCCTGGGCCAGTCCAGTCCAGACGTAGAGCACTTCAACGCCAGCGAAAAACACACTTCTTCTTCTATGGATGCTTCTGACAAGCTCTAAGGCAGATGTTCACGCGGATGGTGTCCTATACATCTTGCATTCGGGTAGACTGTTCAACCGGGCTCCTCTTCGGCTATTCGTAAGTTGGCAGCGTTTCGAGCACACTTAAGAACAGAATGGCCGTCAACAAACGGAATATCCCAATCAGGGATCCATGTCCAAATCCCATGTCCCAACCACCATCCACGAACAATGAGAGCGTCACCCTCACCGTACCTGATGACATCCTCCGCCGGGTCGCGCTGCCGGAGATCTCACCAGACAGTAAATCCTAGTAATGCGGTCTCCCATTCGGCTACTTCTGGAAACTTGTTCAGTTCGGATGTCTTTGAGCCTCTCCATTTCCTGTATAGCGTGGCCCCTTACAAGTACGAGAAGCACCATATGTGAACCTTGGCGGGATAGATGAATAGTATCAGCTTCAAAGAAACACGGTGGTAATACGCACTCGCATGGCAGTTAGCGTAACCATCCGGGATGTTCATGGCAGTTACTATCATCATCATCAGCCTTAATCTATCGTTCCTTAGCCCTCGTCCCTGTTTCCCACACGCCATTTTTAAGTGCTCGTCAGCATCCTTTGCTCAACTTACCTTATCTAACACGCCGAATTCGTTCCCAACCAGCGCACTTTGTGCGATATTTGGTGCATAGGTGCAACAACATATACAACATAGCATAAAGCTTATTTCCAGACGGCCACACAATGCTGGCATTTGGTTCATCTGAAATGCGGTGCCGCTGCTGGTGGAATGAGGGTGCCGCCCTGTCCTTTCCTGTAGGAGTGCACCGTACTCCTTCCTCTTTAGAATCGTCAGGACTTACCAGACATTTTCACTACCGGTTCTCCCGGAATAGGCAGAACATACGAGTCCAGAAAAGCAACTTTTTCACCCTGTAAACTCTCAAACAACTGAAATTCGCTTCCTTTGAGCCTTGTCTTCGTCCATAACGATATTGACTACAATGCTGCCGTAATGAAAGTATAAATACATCGTACTTCAACACCCATGCCAGGGTTAAAACTTCACAGAATGAAAACAGCGAGACTGAAACACTTCTGGCGAGGAGAAGCATGAGTGTGCCGCAACTTTCAAAGCCTTCAACTGGCAATCTTTGAAGGCCCAAGTTCCTTCACCACGCATCGCAGGCGTCAGTAGCATGGAGTGTCCTTGGTACACGAGCTGGCCACTGCCGAGAACGCCTGAACACCGGTCCTCGAGCCGCAGACTGGCCGCCGGGCGGCCCCTGCCGACCGGTCCGCTCGGAGGCCGCGCCAGGGCCCCCGAGCACCGGCGGGCGACATCCCGCCCGCGCCGCCGGTCACCACGCGTCGGCAGTCGAGTAGACGGCGCCACCGGTGTCTCGGAGCCCGGCGGAATCGGCGCGATGATGGCGTCAGTATTGGCAGACATGCAAACCCCAAAACGTGCGTGCGACTCGGACTTGTCAAAACGTTGCGCTGTTCCCACTGTGGAGCGCTTGCCATTCGGCAAGACTGTGTCTCGAGGGTAGTCTGTTCCAGGTATTTGTGACGCGGCAGTTGAAAGCGCGCCACCTCGCCCCGCCTCGCCCTTGGCTCCGCACGGCCGGAGCGGAGCCAAACCGGCAGCTCGAGCCACCTGGGCTGATGCCCACTCCATACGGTTGTTCGGCTACATCTGAATGCACCCTGCGGTTTATGTCTGGCTGACGTAAGAAGCCTATGAAGTATGGCCATGCTGCTTCAGCCGCCATTGCATTGACCCCCTTGGTCATCCACAGGTATTTTAATCCAGCGGCTATGTTGGGTTCCTTTGAAACCCGCGGTAATATCAACACCGAATTTCATTACGTTTTGCATTGTTCTCGATATTACTTGACAGCATAACCCCATAAAGTGAACCAGTACTGAACACGGAGAAATATAGGAGACTTCGTCAGCAATTTTTTATCAGAAGATTTTACCCTAATTTGTGGAATGACCACCGGGAAGCTGGAGAAATTGTATGGTGCTCAGGTCTTCGTCTGTTGGACGCTTCAGACTCAACGAAAATGCGAAGAGTCTCGACATGTCCTGATGGGTTCACGTCATTGTCACCAGAGAGGATGGAAGATTGTAAATCAGTGCATTCCGGGAATCCGCTCGACTGTCATTACATTTCGATGACAATACGGGATAAAACATACCACTGTTTTCGGAATTGCGCCATCAAACAGCTCTTTTTTAAAAATGCATACACCTTACAACAAAATAAAATAGCACGCCGAAACAAAAGAAACACAATGAAGTCGCGTTACCGTCAATAGCGCTGCCGCGGCTGGAGCGATGGAAGGCTCATCCGCGCACACATACCTTATAGGAGAGCAGCTCAGAGACGTCCATGACCAGGCGGCTTCGGCTCCCGGGGCACCTCGATCAGGGTCAGGACGTCAGCCACTGGACGCGACACGCAGCTTCGTCGGAACTCCTGTAGCTTACCGATCACTGAAACAGGGCACACAAGTGACACGCCATGCAGCGTCCTAGAATTACCGACTTTGGGTGCAGAGCAACACCCCATGAGGAGGAATTTTTCACTCCCTCTCCCCATATTTTATGCAAAGTTTTCACTCCTACCGGATGTTGTCTAACCACACACCCTAAACCCATATTTGCCTCTCAGAGGTTTTAAGATGTCATCCAAAACAGATCTCACTTGAAATCATCACGCATAAACAAGGCTCACAGAACCTGGACACCTTTGGCTATATCTTGTCTTGCTTCACCTTCATCTGAATCACGCCTGAGCAAGGACACCAGGCATTATCAAGCCCAAGAGATCCAGCGACTCCAGCCGCTTGCATGCATCAAATTGCAGCTGTGTGCCAAATACAAGGTTTTCACGTATCCCCAATGTTTTTGGTCACACCACGCAAACACCACACCAGAAAATCAAAGATTGGTGCACACACCAGCAATCTTTATCTTATCTTTGTTTCCTTGGTCTCATACAGGTGTGACACAAATTAATTTTGCCTTCCTTTTCGATTATCTTTAAAGACACCATCTATGACCAAAAATGTCAGCCAATTTCTCGGGAAAAAATTTTCCAGCCGCAAACTTACACATATTTTACACATACATCGGATTAATTTGCCAGCCGCCAAAACATATTTGAAATACACTCTAACGTGAACAATTCACAGCGAATGAAGGAGACGATTTAAGGTAAGGAATGTATTTGTAACGCCATTTTTGCCTTGCTAAACCCCCAGTTATCCGCTTTGGGGGGGGGGGGGGGGAGGGCGGCTCATGGCGTGTTTCAATAATGATAACTCTAAGCCATTCCAGTTTCGCTACCTCATCATGTTACATTATCCTGCTGCACATAGCCTTGGGACAGACCTGGCACAGCTAATACAGGAGTGTTTGGTAGAGAAATTCTGCACTCCAAAACTAATCTCTCATACAGAGCTCTTTTCACTTATTATTTTAATCTGGTAGGTTGGTTGGCATGACTGATAGTTACATTTGCCGGGAAGGGGGGGGGGGCTATTCTTTCCGGCATTCTGTTTCAATGCAATATTTTAAGAACTGCAAAAATTGTCATGTTTATGATATTATGTCCATGCCAACTTGAAATATATGTTCTTGTTTGCAGCAGCATCTATCACTGACAGCATCTATCACAGTTTCCGTTTAAGTGAATTTAATTTTTCATTCCTATACGATCTTTTGGCGATGAAATTCTTCACTCGAACTCCATCTTAAAAGCGATTCTAGCTCACTGACACCAGGTCTTAATGCAAGTAAGCAAATATCGCACAGAACAGCTGCTTGGGTCCTCGAGTCCTGAAGATTCCGGTATTGATAAGATATTGTACTTGATATCGTGCGTACTGTCGCACTACAACTTCTACCGTAAGTGCCGTATCGAACATATCGTACTTGGCGGCATCTCGAGTCAAAAGGCTCAAACAGCCACTCTTTAGTCGATCACTCTCGAGAGTTCTCATTCGCAAAGGACGCGGTCGTCTCCCTGCACCGAGCAGAACGTACATGGGGCCCACATGTATGACGACAAAGTCTCTCCCCTGGTTGCTAAAGTGATCCTGCCGGCTTCCGCCCCCTGGCGGCGCTGGAAGGGAGGGCTGTAAGTGGAACGTCTTTGATGATGAAGGGGGCATCAATTGCCATTGTATCACTTTATCTTTCTTGTCATCTGTTATTGATGGGACAAGTCCATCTTCGTATTGAGTTTTGAACTAAATACACATCGTGAAGATAATTCTGTGGAATTCATAGCCCTGCCCTCCTCAAAACTTTAACTGCTCTAGCTTCTGAGCTATATTCTCATGAAAATGTGTGGACATTTTCAGGGATGTTATTTCAAGGTAACCAAGGTCTATGACATCATGTCACTGAAATCTTGCCATTTCATTAGTCAGGTAGCATTCAAGATAAAAGATAATTGTTGAGTTATTCACAACTGGTGTTTGTGAGCATAGCATCCAGATGAGGCTGCCATCAATTGGCTCTCAACCATGTTGTGTAAGGTATGATGATGTTATCAAACAATGACATATTGAAGAGCGGTTTTACTAAACAAAGAAATTGTGTTGTCTAGAGAAGCCTTTTCCATTTAAAAGTGTACTTGTGGTTATCAGTGATCTTATTTCATCATATGTGATGCTTCCTTCAATATCCTCAAACGTGGGACATTCTCTTACAGCTGACAACTCATATGGTACCACTTACCACAGACATCACAGCAATTCCAGATCTCCTCTTTGATCTTCCCTTACTATATTTTGGTTCATCCACCACAGCAGACATGTTGAAATTTGTTTCATCTTCTTTTCCTTTCCACTCCTGGCTTGTTTACATTCTACATAAGGGTGGCCACTGAGGGTCACTTCTTGGACAAGCCTGGTGCCAAACTTGGAGATGTCCATCCCAGTTCTCCCTGCTGTTTTATCTTCCCTTTTGACCCAGACATGCTTACTTAGCTGCAACCTGTAGCCCAGCTAGCTATACATATGCAATGCATTGCAAAGCTATAGACATGCTATGCAATTAGATGCAGTTGTGTATGTACTACCTTGTTTTTTGTTTTTTTTTGTGTTGGAAGCACACTGGTAGCTGTGTGATTGGGGCTTTACGACGCACTCAGCTGCTGAGGCTATATGGCATCACCTGCCTCTCACCCCGGCAGGAAGGGCGGGCACCACGGGGAATCGAACCCCGTACCTATGGTTTCCAGATGCGCAGTAGCCAACAGACGCACTAACCACTACACTACCGGCACCCCCCACACTGGTAGCTCACACACTATCTACATAGCAGATATTTAATTTTTAGCACCATTGTAAGACAGCTTCAGCCATACACTTCCTGTCAGACACCTCAGGTCATGCAACTGGCATAAACTTGGGGCTATCTCACTTTAGCACGTCCCACCCACATGGGATCTATTTCTACACAGATCATACAGTATTCCACCATCACAAGCACTGGTCAGTGCAGTGTTGCTCCTATCTCCCATCCTGGTTAGGAACTGGTTGAGGGTCTGGCCCATGTAGAACTGAACCAGTGACCTCCTGCCAACCTATGAAGCCTGACTTGGACTCATGCCCTGGCTGACTGTACCAGCAGTCCCAATATTTCATAAATCGATAAGAGCTTATACAGTTGTTGGATCCATACCACCCATGACTAGAAAAGAATAGGAAAAAGTTACCTAGTTGTGCATAATCTCCCCCCCCCCCCCTGAAAGTATGCACCAGGTCCAGGATGGTAAGGGTCAGACCAAAACAACAATCTTTTTTATCTATCTTTAACAGCACTTCTGGTGTACAACAATCAAACTGCCACCTACATATTGTGTGCTCTATTTTTTGGATTCCTTCAGAGTGTCCTATTGCAGCCTCACAGTATTCATGCTGTGATGCTGCAATGGGAGGAGGTAATGAACAGCATTTGGATGAAATTGTCTGGTCTGTGTATGCCTCAATCTTTGGTATACTTCATACAAAGTTTAAGCAGCTAAATCATGATACTATTAGAAGAAAAATTATCACCATTATAGTGCAATTCTACTTGTTTGCAGCTTAACAAATGGACATTCTGACAATACAAACACACTGAATGCGACAGGAAACCATAGGGGTGCACTCAAACTAATATTAATCTAAACTACAATAACCAAAGGTGCCTAACATACTTAAATATAGAGTGACACGATAATTGTTCGCTATTGTGGGTACATCACAGGAATATTGCCGCACAACAAAATTCGCAAGACCAAAACACTGCATCCCATACTTCCCGACCACAGTTCTCAGGTTTCTAAGGCTACTTACTGCAGCTTGGCTCAAGGCTATTAACAGTTGGGCTGTTGTCAGGCTCGACCGCAACTTGACAAATCGGCTGGATTGGTGACAAGTTTACTTCACAGCAATTCCAATAGGTCGCGCTCCGGAACCTTGCTTGAACGCAGCGAAGTCATGCGGCGTTTGCGGAGGCTATGCGACAGCCCAACAAAGTGATACTAAAACACTGAAGTCGCCCCATAAATGTGCTAAGGTCAATTTTTGACTTTTCACCGGTGTTGGATTGTTTTTTTTAAAGATATTTGATGCCCAATGGTGGATTAAGGACTATGAAATTATTATGAAAGGTCGCGAAAAACCATGACTGTGACAATGACTGTGACGTAGCTTATGGCAAATCTTCTTCAAAGGCCAGTGCGTATACACCCTCCAAATCGGAGGGTGGCTATGCACAGGGCTTATACACCCTCCAAAACGCAGGACGGTTACGCACCAGGCTCACCCTCCCTCCAAAATGGAGAAAAAATATGCACGGGGCCTATACAGTGATACACCCCCCCCCCCGAAAAAAAGTATCCAGATTGACCAATTCACTTGCTGTAGTCATAAAAAGCTACAGTTGTGAGTCAAAAATAGTAATATTGTCTATAAACATCAGATGGCCATCACATTATCTTCATCCAACCGAAACCAATTTTCTGTATTCTTAAATTGTAGAAATTTGAGCCCGAGGGCGCAGTGGCCGGGCGATTAGCGCATCTAGCTCTCACGTCGTGAGCCCGGGTTCTATTCCCGATGATGTTAGGATCCCTGAACAGTAATATGATCGATACGGACATCCTCATCCGTTGACATTTGAATTGTGACATAAGTAATGTTCATATTAATATCGCGGGTCAAATGCCCCGATCAGAAGCCACCCGAGGGAGGGCACCGCGCCAGGGAGGGCACCAATGCAGGATGTATATCTGTGAGGGCCTCCGGGCGAACCCACCAGGCGAACCCGTCTCCATGTCGTCAGAATGGCAGCCGGTAGACACCCCGAGCTGGGACAGAATGATCTTTATGCAATGGCCCGGAAGGGAAATGTGCACCTAACTTTTCACGAATTGATTCTGTCATACGGTTGAACATTCCCAGATGAAATAGGACTGCCTATGTTTATACAAGCTGCTGGCCTCATTTAGATTTAGGGTCGACGTTCACGGGATCCTCAATATCTCCGCAGAGTGTAGACTCCCTTCCCTAGGCATTAGAAACTACGCCTCCGTCCGATATGCAAAGCCCAAGTTGTTCCCCTTAGCAGTGAAGCAAGTCGGCATCATCATACCACGCCGATAGACCATGAACAAACCCACTTGACAGCGGTCGTCGTTGAGATTCGAACCCGGGCCTACCGCGTACGGAATCAGACGCCGACCATCCGTCCACCGTGGATGCGGGTCTGCCGGCCGATACTTTGTAATCAGAAAACAACTGGCTTAGAGCGGGTTAATGGATTTCGTGATCGTCTCATACATATAACGCACTGAGCCGACTTTTTGCACGAGATTGTGCATCCCGGGCTCCCCTCCAAGACTGGCAGTCCGCGTGCGCTTGGCGCGTGCAAACATCTGAAAGATTTTTGGACAACGTTATGCCCGGTGCGTAGCCACCCTCCATTTTGGAGGGTGTATAGGCCCGGTGCGTAGCCGCCCTCCGTTATTGGATGGCGTGTACGCGCCGCCTCTTCTAAAAGGATTATTCGTCTACTGAAAGAAATTTGCAACCGGATGCACCGGGGTGTCAATTTTATAATTGACTGGGGGCTGGACCGACAACCCAGTCATCTACCCGCCCCTCCCCCCCCCCCCCCCACCCCGTCTGCTGTTTTCTTAACGCATCTGATCCACTCACTTTTGGCAAAAGACAGTTCACATTAAAAATTTTACACAATTCAAAATAGCGTTTAATTCAAGCAACATAGCAGCCATGCAGAGGCAGATCTAGAAGGAAGGGGTGGGGGGGGGGGGGGGGGGCGCTGGAGGCACGGGCCCCTTCTGATCGGAAGGTAAAGATCGCCTTAGAGCGCCGAAGGTACTGTCTTATGGCGACCGCGGGGGGCGGCACCTCTTTTTGGTTGTGGGGACGGGGACTGGGTTAGTTAAAAATGACCTAACCATTCCTGCGTTTTAGAGCTTTCCGGATTGCCTCTCAAACCTTAGTGCATCTTATGGACCTAGGTGTGTTAAGTTTATTGCATCGTTTATTCGCTCAGCAGTTAAGATTTGTATCTGGTGGTGAGACCAAACACGATTTTATTACGAGAGAAAGGGTGTTCTTGTGATGGTAGATCCACTGCTGTATACGACAACCATATATGTTTGGTGCCTATGGGACGGAAAATGTCTGACTACATTAACGGATCCAGTTACGGGGTTGGAGGCTAGGTCATTCGGCCAAATTGCATACCCCAATTGTATTTTTTTTGTGCCTGGGTACAGGGCACAGGGCCCTGTGTGAAACAGAAATATTTATTTAAGTTACCATTTTTTCACGACTTGCAAGAGGTGTATGAAAATCTTGGTCTAAATTTGGTGTCGTACCACAATTTTTCAATGCCGCTAATTCATGACATCAACAATTATAACCGACAACATCATCACAATCAACAGTGCTCAACAATACTTAGTTATGTTCTATAATTCATGACGCAAAATCCACACTGACCATTATTTGCATCATAGTTCGGCTAGATAGTAATAGTTAGCTGATTGAATAGGATACATAAAATGTGCCCCACGGGCGTAAATTTGTATTCTTTTGTGAGGGCTGCCCCCTCCCGCAATATTGAGCTGGCCCCCCTAATGTTGGCTTAGTCCCCCCCCCCCAATATTTGAGGCTGGAATGCTACAAAAACATGGGTAAAAGATGATCGTAACACAAAGATTACCTTCTTTGATCTTTCTGCGTAGTTACGTCCCGCACCACTCACATAACAAAAAGTTGTGGTTGCTAATACCACCAGATACAAATCGTAACAGCTATGTGGGTAAACGATGCAATAAACTTCACATACCAAGCGCCATAAGACATGCAATGGTTTGTGAGGTTAAAGTGAAAAGCCCCGGAATATGGGGATGACCTAAGTTCTTCATGGCTAACCCTGTCCCCGTCTCCCACAACGAAAATGAGTGCCGCCTCCCATGACCGCCACAGAAGAGCACTATCAGCGCCCTAAGGCGGCTTCTAAAGGGGCGCCTTAACGGTGCCAATCAGAAGAGGCGCGTGTGTCCAGTGTCTGCTCCCTGGATCCAACCCTGCATGACTTTAGGTTGTCGGGCCTTCGGTTTGATCCCCCAATAATTTACAAGGATTGACAACTCTGGGCATACCTACACCATTTTGCAAATGCAAGAGGGACCAGTTGTGGCACGTCGAACAAAGAAGGTTTCACGACGATTGGGAAATGTGTTCCGAGAACTGAGTTGTCTGCAAGCCATAATTTCGAAATTTTAGAAAATTGATGACTTCTGATCTGGTGAAAAGTCACTATATTCCGACTGCATGAAGAAACGAACTACGGCGAAGCAAAAAGAGAAGGTTTTTGATGTATTTTTAAGATGTTTGACCTTATGTTAGGTCACATATTACACACTCCATGCTCCCTTCATTATTCTTAATGGAATGGTAAATGCTTCAAAAGAATTTCTTATATGATTTTTGAAAACGAACATGTATACTACGAACAGGAACAAAATTTTCATCGGCGCTTTCTTTGTTTATCACTTCCAGTATGACAGCATTTCAGGCAATAACGTTGTGGAACCAGACAAGTTTTAATGGAAGAAAATTTTAGTTGTTAATTACTTGTTTGTGTTGAAAAGTTGCTCTTTGCATTCATACTTTGTTTGCTAAGTCACGGAAAACCAATAACAAAGATGCCTTTGAAAGGTACTTATAATTTTGAAGAGGATGAGGTTCGCTGCACCCTCCGGCAGGAAACGATAAAGCGATGCAGTCTCATTCTGCCAGCGGCGGTATTCCATTAAAGGGAATCACATGTGAACCATGGTGAGGTCGTATGGTTGTGAGCATCATGTCATATTGTCCTGTACTTGCTAGTGCGCGTTCACACCAGCTCGCGCACAAAGTGCACTGGTTGTATAGAAATTTGGCCAGTTAGATCAGATAAGCTGAGCAAGGGATGCCAACGAAAGTTGATAAATGGTGTGTGGGGAACAGAGACTGGAAGCTAATGAACGCTAGTTTGAGGTTGGTCACACTACCATGAATAGCCTGGATGTTTACACTAACAGTAATACAAGTGTGCATTGTCAGTATGTTTCTCTGAAGCTGGTACTATTCAACTGGACTCGTCTGGCCCAGACCAGACCTTCCATTTTGCACGTGCCACGTAGCCGCTCCTGCGGGAGAAATCTCATTGGACTCCCTGTTCGCCGTGATGAAAGTAATACATCTCAGTTGCCTGTTTTTCCTTCTAAGGGCCTCTGGATCGACCATGGGAACACGCCACGTGTCGCCAGAATGACAGCCAGTAGACAGCCCGCGATGGGACCAATTGGTCCTTCAGCCCTTGACCGGAAATGGTAACGTGCCCCTAGTGTTCTACTCAAGGGGCCGCTTGCCCGGAAGGAAATAAGGAGTCTTATTATTACTGGATAATGCGGGTCGAAGTGAGTTTAAAAAACGAACAAAGCCATCCCATGTCTGCCCGAGGACGTTCGTTCTTTTCAGAATGGATCAGTAAAATAGCATCAAAAGGTTTGAGCATGCGCATCGGCAACCTCGAGAGCAAGGACAGCGATGGCCTGGGCTGCAGCTTCCGTAAAACCGAATGGCATTGACCACTGCAAGTGACACTAAGCGGCGGGCGCCGTGTTAATCTATTCTCTAGACAGATTAAAAGTTACACCAACACGAAAAATAGAGATTCTTCCTTTATTCCCCCAGTTCCACCACCAGATTTCTGGAGCACTTCGCGTTGCTGAAAGGGCCAACCCGTTCTTAGCATCAGTCTAAAATCGCATAGGTGAAACATGCGTCAAGACTACCTTTTAGCTGTAAGATTTGGTGCTCTGAAGCGTTCAAAGGTTCTTCTTTCAGAAGCGTCATAATTTTCTTTACGCCGTTGGCCGCGGCTCGGTGTTAGCTGCTTGAGGTTGCGAGGTCTATGGAGACTGCAGCGCTTGG